GTGATAAAAATAAGAACTCAAAAATTAATTTCTATATTTTCTCCACATCCCATTTGTCAGCCAACAAAGTTTCATACTACTTTCTGGTGTTCTACTCCTCTGCCCACTGTTCTATGTACAGAAATAGCCCGGGTGTGAATGCATACACATGTTTTAGTGGCACTCGTGTCCCTTGTTCCTTCAGTCTGGAATAAGTGCCTGCAGATAAAGCAATGTTCACCAGCAGTGATGTTCTAATGCTGAATTTAGCACATCAGGGCAATTTCCGTAGGAGCCTCATATGAGACCAAAAACCAAAATTAAACTTCAGTTTCTGGAGGACACTGAAGGGCATGACAAGATGATGGAGAAGTTTCTTTCCTAAGCATCTTTGACACGACGGATGCACTTTGTATGCCCTGTGACATTAATGACACTATGGCACCATGTCCTAGTGCTGGTCCAGGCGTCATCCACTGAACAAATCATATCACTAACTGACTCCAACTGAGGTATTACCTCACCCCTGGGAGAATGAAAAAATATTTTGTATTCAGTGGTTTAAGCTTAACTGACAAAAGGTAGTGTTGAATAGTTGAGACTAAAGAAACCATTCTAGCTGCCTTGCCAGCCACGAAGAAAGGAGTCGAACCTGGCCTCCCAACACTTAGGTTGTTTGCATGTACTTAAAATCAAAGTCTGCTATTTCTGCCTGTCCTGCAGCTGATCCTTAGCTTCTGGCAATTGATCATTAACTTTCCTTTGATGAGTTCCCTGCCCTTTCTTAGGCAGTATGTAGTGTATTGACCAACTATAAAAATGGGCACAAAATTCAGATCTGGACACTAAGGGTCTGGTATCTGCCAGTCGTCGTGATTAATTCTGCAGTCAGCACGTGGACAGAGGCACATCTGAGAAGCATGCACCCAGGACTTAGGCTCTAACTACCGGAGAAAAAGAATGCTTCCCATCGGGTTGACTGAGATAACAGGATGTCAATGTGGAGCTGCAGGGGGCCATGTGCCCCCCATTCAATAACAGCTTATTAATTGACTATTATGCACCCCATACTGTTGCATTAGGAATATAGAAATAAAAACACATAATTTTGTTTCATAGATTTTTCACCATCAACAGGCAAGGCAAATAAATTATTGTCTTTAATAAAATATGGTAAGTGTTAGGGTAGAGGTTACGTAGATTCTTACAAGTACAGAGAAGTCACAACTGGGCCTCCAAACTCACTGAGACTTGTTGGAGAATTAGGACTTAATTGAGTAAGTTGGAGAAGGGATGGGTCCTGAAGAGAAATCAGTAAGTCTCCTGACCTGGAGGGGAGGTCCAGCTGGGATCTGGTAAGCCATCTTACTCAAGCAGGCTGGAGGGAGGGAATGCCCGTTCAGTGACGTGGGGAAAAAAAAGCCCAACCAAGCTGGGACTGAAGCACAGATGCCTTGGATCTTCACTGAAGACTGTGAGGGGCCACTGAAAGATTTGGAAGGTGGGTAGCATCATCAAGTTGGCATTTTAGAAAATCACTTACACAAAAAAAAAAAAGAAAATCACTTATATTGTAATGTAGAGAATGGTTGGGAACAGGGCAGGGGGTGGGCAGTGCCAGATGGCAAGGAAGCCTTAAGAGGCATCAACCTCCTTAGTCAGTGATGCTCAAAAGAATTGAAGGGAAGGATGAGCAGAGTGGGTGTCAGATTCAAGAGGCAACAAGGAAGCAGAATAGCTAGGATCCAGAGGTTACTTGGACATGCAGTGCTCTGGACTGGTGACTGTGGATGGTGATGTCCTGATCAAGCTAGGAGAAACTAGCTTGTTAAAGAAAGGGAGGTTGAGTTTCCTGCAGAACAGTGTCTTGAAGATGTGTAAGGAGGTGACTGCAAGTTAGGAACTCCTAAGAGAAGCCTGAGCAGACACACATTTGTGGTGGGTGGTATCTATCACTTCCTTCCTGAAGATTTGTGCATGCTTTAATTTAGGCATTATCAGCACATAAGTCATAACTGAAATCATGGATATGAATGAGATTGTCAAGCAGGAGCACAGACTTCAAAATGAAAATAACAGTTTAAGGTGAAAGACAGAGTTAAGAGGAGTCCATGAAGATTGGGAAGGTAGAGTCAGAAAATCATCAAAGCAGCCAGGGAGGAGAGAGGGTCAAGAAAGTGGAAGAAGCAAAGAGAACAGATACAATGACAGAACAAGTCATAAACAAACTTAAAAGTGTCTGCCAGATTCCCAAGTGTTGATGGAAGGAGGACAAGGAGGAGGAATTGTGTGTTTTCATTGACTGGTTTGCTGGCTGGTTGGTTGGTAAAAAATGGCAGACACTCAAACATGTTTTACTCAAGGTGAAAGCCAACAGAAAGGAGAGGCTAAACATGCAGAGGGAAAAAACTGGGGAGGCGGGAATGTGGTGGTACCTGAGGAGACTGATACAGATGGACGGTACAACAGATGGGACTTGTCCCAGGTCAAAAAACATACCTCTGCTTTTGGGACGGGAGGGAGACAGCAAGGATGTTTTGATGGCCATGAGTCAGGCTAGACAAGGTTGATAGGAGAAAATGTATATGTAATAATTATATTAAATAATTCTACTTTGTCCATCATTCTGTTAAAACATGGGACTCCCATAGTTTCCAATGTCAAAAGTGACTATGTTGATGGTGACAAGTTTCAGGAAGCAAAGGTGCACCAGTCACCAATGGTGGGTAAAACTACAGCATGTCTTATTTTTTGACTCGATTTTTTTTCATACTTTAGCCTATAGGTCACCCGATTTGAAGAAATGTCATAGTCCTTGTGATGCTTTTGTGTCTTGCACCCAGCAGTGAAGGAACTTGTTTCAATCACTTAGCATTTGAAAATCAAAGCCTAGCTATTGAAGATGAGTTGATGTGGAATTGCTACCTTTAAGATATCTTTCTCAAAAGCAATCTTTCCTTCTACCCATATCATACTGTACCTGGGCTCATAGAAGAAGATGCTCCCAGTTTTTCTTACAGAATATCACAATCTGATGAGGCCTGCTTGATGACAGGTGAAATCCACTCCATAAGTAGAGCACCCATCCCTGAAATGAATATGAAGAAAATCCAGTGCTGTAGAAGCTACGCAGCAAGCATAAACTCACTCTAGGTGAGGAGTCGATTACTGAGGAGGTTATCCATCCCAGTACACTCATTTTATAGCACGTAAGCTGAAGCCCACAGTGCCATATGGTTCAACGGGATCAACGCCAGGACTCAAATCCAGGCATACAGACTCCCCCAGCCCAGTGTTCATGGCTCCTCTCAGAACGTCTGTTTTTCCTGCTGGGCCACAAACTCCAAGGGGCAACAACATCTTCCATCTTGTTCACTTAGGTATTCCCAGCATAGATGTGGCACTCAGAAATACCTGTAGGTCAGTAAGTTACTGATACTCAGGGTAGATCACTAGTGGCCATTTGTGAGGTTTCACAAGGAGATGAACATCAGAGTAAGAGTCTCAACAGAAAAAAAAAAATCACCAATCCATAAACACATAGTTTATGAACTCTGCAAATACCAGAAACTCTGGACATAACTTCCAGGGTGGAAGCCTTGGGAACAGCAGCCATCCAGCCACCTCTTGCTAATGGGATCTGTGCCAGGGTCTCATCTGTCACAGAGTTGGCAGTCATCACACCTCTAGTCATCTATATAGCTTGAGAACAGAAGTTTCCACATTGCCTGGAAGTCAGCTTGAACCAGCTTGAATCCTCCTTAAAATATCTAACAGGCTTTCTCCTCTCCCCCAAACACTGTAATTGCTAGCCCTCCTTTCATCTTACCATAATCAAACCTGCCTAAATTTTCATGTAAGTTGAAATCACATGCACACCAGCCATGCATTCTGTCCACAGGAGACAGCCCATGCCAGAGTATGCAGGCACTCTACAAAGTGAAGGTTTAAAAGCAGTATTAGCCACAGCTGAAGTGAGGTTTTTCGAATGAGACCCTGTTAAGTTCTTTATTTTGCTGAAACCATGTGCTGGCATAATGCCTTTCTCCTCTGGTTAAAACCAAATGCTTCTCAAATGAATCAGCTAAAAGGGTCTCTAGTGGGAACTGCATTCTCTCTTAGCATTCTTCAGTTTGGGTTTGGTTTGGGTTAATTGGTTAATGGTGAAAATAAGTACTTACATCTTTTGCCCCTAAATCAGGAGTTGTTGCTGCTGCTGCTTCTGCTATATCCCATCATGACAGCCTGCTGTTACTCACAGCTGGCAAACACTGTAAACTGTGATGCCACGTCAGCTACACAGAACCTTTCTGCTTTGGCAACAGTTTCCCAACGGAATTATTTAGTATGTAGCTCCAGAGGCTGGAAACATGATCTGACCACCATCTTGAGAAGGTCTCATTACGCGAGAATGCTACTTGAAATTACAGAAAGAAACCACACGTACCTTTTTGTGTGTCTAATGAAAATTCCAAGGAGAACCTAAATATTATATTGGCTTTCTAAACAATCATGACAGCATGGGAAAAAAAAAAACTAGAGTCAGTAGGGATCGTAGTTCATTTAGAAAATCGAGTTTAGAATGGCAAAAAAACTGAAAAGGCTTTTGCTCATTGATAGGGAAATAATTGAATAAATTATGAATCACTTATGTTTTGAAACATTAAACTATTAATAAATAATAAATTATAGCTATACCCATGGACTAAGGGTTTTCTATGACATATTATTGAGTGAAAATTGTAACACCATAGGCCATAATATGTACATATATGAATATGTATAATGATACAAGATTATACATTAGTGTGTATGTATCAACATAGATAAAAGTACATAAATGAGACATGCCCAGCAGTTACTAATGCTTCCTTTGTTTGAGGGAGAAAGTAGGAAAGGGAGTGTTGGTAGAGGGGAAATAACTTTTTTCTAAGGCTTACAATGAAGAAGCATTTATTACATCCTACTCTTGAAAAACTGTCCCTTTCTGAGTGGTGGGTATGACTAAAGAGAAGTATGCATAAGTTTACAGAAGTGTTAATTAGATCTTACAGCAGTAGGATTCCAGGTGACTTATTTTCCTCTAGATATTTTTAAGTATATTTCAATTTTTTTCCCCAAGGAAAACGATGTAGGTAATCTGAAGAAAGCAAAAAGGTGTTTTCAGTATGTGAAAATCATTGACAAGTGGTAACTTGCTTGAACTCTTATGTTTCTGAGTGCTCTGCTGAATCTTAAATAGATTTTTTTTTCTCTCTCTCTCTGTTCCAAACACACTCATGAATTCTAAAGATGTTCATGTGCTTATCTGAAACAGACAAGCCGTGCCAAAGAGAATGTAAAGCACTTGCTCAGACCTCACACAGCCGTCCCTTACTTACAGACTGTTGTCAGAGGTGGGTCACATCATCATGTCCTTCTGTGATGTGTGCTACAGAGAGGGATCCACACAGCACAGGCCCACACAGACATGTTGCTGGTGGGGAGGGTTAGGGGGTGCAGTCCACACAGCCTCAGATAATGCTGCCAGGGATGACTCAGAAATCGTTTGGGAAAATGCCCATTGAGGAAAGAAGAAGGGATTTGCAATTGACCGACCAATCCCTCTATTTCAGCAACAAAGCCAGAAAAAAAAAATGGAAAATAAAGCTCTTATTTTGCAAAATTAGAACACAGGAGAGGTCACTCTGTATTTCCTGGCCACATTTTTTTTAATTAAAAAAGAAGGAAAGTATATAAATGTTCTTGGACATTAAGCAATCTTAATTATAAGGAGAAGTTTAGGAAATTCAATTTGTTCAGTCACCATAAAAACTGTGCATCCACTATTCACAATAGCCAAGTTATGGAAACAGCCAAGATGCCCCACCACTGACGAATGGATTAAGAAAATGTGGTATCTATACACAATGGAATTTTATGCAGCCATGAAGAAGAACGAAATGTTATCATTCGCTGGTAAATGGATGGAATTGGAGAACATCATTCTGAGTGAGGTTAGCCTGGCTCAAAAGACCAAAAATCATATGTTCTCCCTCATATGTGAACATTAGATCAAGGGCAAACACAACAATGGGATTGGACTTTGAGCACATGATAAAAGCGAGAGCACACAAGGGAGGGGTGAGGATAGGTAAGACACCTAAAAAACTAGCTAGCATTTGTTGCCCTTAACGCAGAGAAACTAAAGCAGATACCTTAAAAGCAACTGAGGCCAATAGGAATAGGAGACCAGGAACTAGAGAAAAGGTTAGATCAAAAAGAATTAACCTAGAAGGTAACACACACGCACAAGAAATCAATGTGAGTCAATGCCCTGTATAGCTATCCTTATCTCAACCAGCAAAAGCCCTTGTTCCTTCCTATTATTGCTTATACTCTCTCTACAACAAAATTAGAAATAAGGGCAAAATAGTTTCTGCTGGGTATTGAGGGGGTGGGGGGAGAGGGAGGGGGCGGGGTGGGTGGTAAGGGAGGGGGTGGGGGCAGGGGGGAGAAATGACCCAAGCCTTGTATGCACATATGAAAAATAAAATTTTAAAAATAAATAAATAAATAAATCAAAACAAAACAAAAAAAAACTGTGCATCCAATAGATGTATGTATGAATCAGAAGGCATATATTATGTGTACATGTGTGTAAGTATTACCTAGAATCGAGAAAGCTCTCATTTCAGATTTACATAGGGAAGAGGCCTCGATTTCAGTTAAATGCCTGAATCATAGAATTGTTCTAAAATAACTTTTCTTTAATGTTGTGTTATTTTCAACTACAAAAATAATCTGGATAGCTGGGCACTGAATCCCAGCACTAGGGAGGAGGCAAGAGGATGGAGAGGTCAAGGCCAGCCTGGGCTGCATAGTGAGGCCTTGTCTCAAAATCATAAAGAGAGAGAGAAGAGAAGAGAAGGGAAGGGAAGGGAAGGGGATGAAAGGGGAGGGGAAGAGAGGGGAGGGGAGGGGAGGGGAGGGGAGGGGAGGGGAAGAAAAGGAAAGGAAAAGAATCAGAAAAAGGAAAAAGAAAAGGAAAAGGAAAGAAACACTTAGCTATCTTACAGCGGAGGCATTCCAGATGACTTATTTTACTCTCTACATTTTTAAGTATATTTCAGCTGCTATTCAAGGAAAACTGTTTAGGTAATCAGAAGAAACCATAAGGCTTTTTATTATGTAAAGATAAATGGTTAATAATTTGTCCAAACTAGAATCCCTACACTTTTTTTCTCCTAAAAGAATCTTGTCTTAGTCCATTTAGGCAGCTATAACCAAATACCCTAGACTGGCTGGGTTATAAACTTACTTCCCATAGTTCAGGAGGCCAGGAAGTTCGAGGCCACAGCACGGCAGATTTGGTGTTTTGTGAAGGCCTGCTTCCTCATACTTGGTTGTCATTTCACTGCACCCTCACGTGGTGGAAGGAAAAAGCAGCTCCCTCTGGCCTCTTCCAAGGGCACTAACCTCACTGGTGAGGGCTCTGCCTTCAAGACCTGATCATCTCCCAAAGGCCCCACGCTCCTAACACCATCACTGTGGGTTGAGGATTTCAACATGTGAATTTCAGACCACAGCATTGATCTCTAATTCATCCTATCATTTTAGAAATAACTAAAGATTCAAAGAGGATAAATAACTTGTCCAGGCCACACAGCGGAACTCAGGGCCTCTGGATCTCAGAGCCCAAGCTGCAGCACCACGCTGCCAGTATTAAAAGCCTGCGAGACCCAGTTTAACATAGCTAGATAAGATGCAGATGCTTGCTTTGTATGCAAAGAACACTTCGTTCGACTTATGGAAAGACTAGTTAAGTATGGTCTGCCTTTCACATCTTGCCTTGCAATTTGTTACCTATCCTTTGTCCTGTTAATAATCACTCAACTAAATGCAATGAAGGATACAAATAGACATCATAGAAAACAAAATGTAGCTAGGCACGGGTTTCTCACACCTATAATCCTAGCTACTTGGGAGGCTGAGATCAGAAGGATGGTGGTTCAAGACTAGCCTAAGCAAAAGTTTGCAAGATCTCATCTCAATGGGTAAAAGCTGGATGTGGTGGCACATACCTGTCATCCCAGCTATGGCATGGAGCATAAGCAAGGAGGATCACCATCCAGGCTGGCCTGGGCAAAATGTGAGATCCTATCTCCAAAATATCCATGTAAGGTCAGGTGTGGTGGCTTCCACCTGTAATCCCAGCTACGTGGGAAGAAGAAATTGAGAGGATTGTTGTTCAGGCCAGCACAGGAAAAAAGTTCATGAGACCCCATCTCAACCAATAAGCTGGGTGTGGTGCACACCTGTCATACAGCTATGTGGGAGGCATAAATGCAAGAATAAAGTTCCAGGACAGCCCAGCCAAAAAACAAAGGTGAAAGGTGAGACCCTATTCAAAAATGACTAAAGCACAAAAGATTAGCGAACATGAGGCCCTGAGTTCAAATCCCAGTAACCCCACACACATGCACACAAACCCCACTGTCAATAAATGCCAAGTGTGTAATGTCAGCAGCAAGTGCTGTGTTCCCAGGACACTTCTACACTTTGGGCTATTCTTAACAAAACTGGGTCTGACTTCATGTAAGACTTGTGACCCTAAGCTTAAACCAATATTGCAATTTCACGACCACACCTTTCCCCTACTTAAATAGAGACATGTCTGGCCAGGTGGTCCAAGCCTATAATCCCAGCTACTCAGGAAGTAAAAGCAGGAGGACTGGAGTTTAAGGCCAGCACAGGCAAAGTTAGCAAGACCCTACCAGAGAGAGAGAGCTTTGTAAAATGTGCAGCCATCTTAGATAAATTGAGGAAGTTGGTATGGTAGCTCACCTACATCACACTAAAAGATTGAATAACAGGAGGAAGATGTGGTGACTGACACACTCCAAGGTCATAGCCTTTGGGTCTCAAAGGTGCGTCCTTTCCAAGACCATCAGCAGACTGGAGTTGTTAGCTCTGAACCAAAGCTCATGGTAGAAAATAACAACTATAAATGTCTGTTTTTGAAAGAATTTTAAGCTCTACTCCTTAACCTAAAATACTCATTCACAAATAACCAAAAATCTCATCTTTTTCTGCCTCAACACTGAGTCAAGTGATAAGACATCTTGCACTCCCCAGGAACAACTGGGGAAAGCCCATTTTTAGAACAGAGGCTACAAGGCACAATGGTGCTTTGTGTTGGTCTGAAGCCACACAGCCAGGCTGGGCTCCTAGCTGTGCCACTGTCTAGTCCATCATTTCAGGTAAATCACTGGATCTGTCTGGATCTCA